ACCCAAAACTGTATGTACGACTCTCGGGCCGCCTCCGCGCCCCCCCCAAAAAAACGCTCATGACTTGCTGTGCTAGAAAAAATTCCCGCCTATTTTTTTGCACCCTTGTAGGAGAAGGTAACTCATCTTGCATCAGCCAGGGTCACACACAACTCTTCTTTNGCCTTTTGCAGGTCCGAATTGACGCACTATACCCTTCAAGAGGAGCGTTTCTCGCTGGATCTCATAGCTGGTGCGTCAGGATGTCCTCTCACTCAGCGTCAAGCGGCAGATGTCGGTTCCCGTGTGGGCGTACACAGGAGCCAGCGTTTTGTGAAGCCCCCGACAGCCGACTACTGTAGTTCCGAGTGTTCTCTGTTGACATTCCATCGCTTCTTCTCATTTATGCATGTTATCTTGTGTCGTGAATGTTGGTGGTAATCGAAGTGGTTTTTCGTAGGTGCTTTTGTCTTCAATGGGCCGATCCGACATGAAAGAATCCAAAATGAAGCGACTATGTACCATCCCTCACTACTATACATCCGCATAAAAAATACTTGGTGGATGGGTGCATTTCTGTTTCCCATCCGGAGAGTATCGTAGCCCCTCCCTTGTCACCCGTTGGTCAGCGTGTCAGCAGGGTCCATGCTAAACGTGAGGACACATGTACATTCTCACCCAATTTTATTATTGTTAGGAATCCTGCAGTCCCGATTCTTCAACGGCCACTTGTCCGTGTGTTGTGATTTCCTTCTCTACGCACCAGTGTGTGCGGCAAAAGCTTTTTATGGTGTTCCTTTTTAACTCGTCAGCGTCTGAATCGTTGATGTGTCCCTTTTCCGTTGTTGACGTTTGTTGCTCGCAGAAACGGGAAATGGACCCTTATCATTTCCACATCGAGATTGCGGAGAAAACTGCGGAGCAACTCGCAACGAATGCCGAACTACTGAAAGACTGCCATGCCATCCTCGTTCCATTCGCGGCCAAGTTCATGGAGGACGAGAGGTTGCTCAGTCTTAAGTAAGTACCGGGGCAACCACGCCTGGTGCGTTCCTCGTTCTTTCCTCCGTTAATTCTACGGTTGCGTTGTCGGTTGGGTGTAGTACGACCCCGTCGGTTGGGTGATCCACCCGTGCTGTCTCTCTCGTTATGAGTCCATGATTTATTCGTCCGTTTCGGCTGTCGTTTTGTGTGTAGTGCACTCTTGACAACCAGAGAATGACACCTGTCTTTCGTCGACGGCACAAACTCTGTTTCGTCTGCTTTCTTCCCTTCCTTCTTCTGTTCATGGCGTTGGCCCCACTCGTCGGCAGCAAGCACGTCAAGAGCATGGGCTTGGGCACCTACCTTGTTCAGGAGCACGGCAAGAGCCAGTACGGCAACAGGGTGACAATCGTGCTGCCGGACACGGAAGGGAAGGGTGGCCGCGTCGAGTGCACCTGCAGAGTCCCTACCAGGTTCCACCTCCTGTGCCAGGACGCCCTCGCGGTGTTGAAATGTAAGCCTCCTCCATCGGGTTGAAAACATGGATCGCATTTAATTATTGGGTTATTCAATCTTCGGCTTGGTGTCCTCTGTTGGCCGTCTGTGATCCGTGTGCATTCTGTATGTTTTATTCTCGCAGCTCACTTGCAATGTGCGACCTCATACAATCTACATTGCAGATCCTCGTATCTCCTCTCTGGGTTTTCCTCTGGTCATCTGTCCCTCGAAGTTGTTCTTTCTTGGCCCTTCTTTCTTTTGCCTATGGCACAAGCTCACCGTTGGCTGTGAACGAGGTTCTCGTAGAATGAAGTGGGATTCCGTTTGCCTGTGCATGCCATTTGTGTCACCAAGCTATTCAGCATCCACCCCCTCTCGATGGATTTCCATGAAGGTAGGCAGAGGTTGATGAGCGTGTTACCACTGCTTGGGAGGAGTGTGAGCTCTTGGAGAAACATCCCCTCGTTGGTATTGTTCTATGATGCTTTGCTAGAAGGACGGGATTCATGCCTTGCCGAAAACACGTCGATACGTCGGATGTTAACTAAGGTGAGCTCCAGGATAAGACCACAAACGAAGATGGATGAAAACAGCCCTGGTTTTCACACAACTTAGCGAACACGTGGTGATCGGGCTCCTCGGTCGGTTGGTGTATTTGCCCATGTCCGTAGCACCGGTCACACATCCGTGTCCGTCAGCACGAGTACCCTTCTAACGGCCATGTTATGTGAAGGGAACCCACAAGTACCCTTCTAACGGCCGTGTTCTGTGAAAGGAACCCACGTGGAGGCGTCGTAGGAAAGGCAAGGCTATTTTGGGCATGCATGACACGGTGACCTGGTAGCTTATGACGAGAAACCCAAGCTACCATTGTTCCTGCTTTGAATGCAGTCCGTTTTGACTCCGTCCGCGTTTTGCTTCTTCTATCATGGCCCTTCTATCATTGTCTTTGTGTCCACTACTCCTCGCAAGTATTCTCACTGCTTCTCTTTGGAGCTAGCTCTCTATTCCCTCTGGAAGGGCAGAGTTCTCTTCCAGGTCGTCTCTTCCTTCTTGGTTCATTGCGTGCTTTCGTGCTACTTTCCTCCGCAGTGGGATCGTTTCGGTCTTCCGTTCGCACCGGGGAGGACTTGGCGCGGGCAATAGCGGGATGAGGGAGGGTGACAAACCAAAGAACTCAAAAAATCCGACGCTCGAGTACATTTAATTGACCGTTCTTTGACGATTCTTGGCCCAACCCGCCTGTTCCCGATGCCGTGACAGCAATCGACAGGCTTGACTGCACGAGGGCGCTTATTGACAGCGGGTACACCCTGGCTTCCTACAGGGTGCTCCACACCCACCCCGACTATCCCGTCGTACTTCCGATCTGGTCAGAGCTTTCCAAGGGCGACCTCCTGCCCCCGCGGCAGGTGACCCGGCAAGCTGGTGCTCCGAAGAAGAACCGTGGCCCCCGGCAGCGTTCCCGATTCCCTGGTCGCAACGACAACTGCCAGCGCGGACGCGGCAACGTAGCCCAAGAAGGAGGTGGTCGTGGCGGCGGGCCTGCCGCCGGGAGAGGGGGTGGTCGTGGCGGGGGCGGTAACTCTCGGCCCGTCCCGGTACATGGGATGGGCAGTGTTCGCAGCCACGTGGGAGACCTCAACGTCGGAGGTTCCGCGGGCGAGCGACCTACCGGGAGGTTGTGGGGGGGGCTCGCGGTTCAGCGCTACGGCTCGCAAGACGCTTCCGGCAACGACCACGCAGCGGGGGCGGGGGCCGGGTCATGCGCTATGCTGAGTCAATCCCAAGGCTCCATCGACCTGTCGTAGCTCAAGTGGTTCGACTCGTAGCTCAAGTGGTTTGACTCGTCTTAGGGTTAGGTAACTTGGGCCTTTGAATTTCTTCGTCGCACGTTGTCGGAGTCAAATACGACGCTGTGGTCCGTGAATGGCAGGGAGCAAGTGGTCGAATGTGTGTGCAGCTTTGCGTAAAACTCCCGCGACGGCGGGGCGCGTGTTGTAGCGCCTAATTTCGCGTGCCAGTTTCCAAATGCTATGCACAACAGACAGAGATGAACAGCGGAATTCGACAACCACGCACGCACATGACTTCGACTTGGGTTGATTAATGGGTAGAACCGTCGAGCCCCAAGAGGAAGCTGTTGTGAAGGACGGTTATCGTCAGCCTTAACGTCAGCCATGCGCACCCACGTGCAAACTGCTTCTCACGATAATCGCGACAAAGAGCGTTTGCGGAAGTGGCCCTTCACCCCAACAGACAGATTCGCAACCGAATAACTAATCCACACCGTGAACGCCCGTTACCCAAACGTGTTCTTGTCAACGGGGGAGAAGGGGACAGTGCGTCGTGTAGAAACACAGAACGCAAGTGTTGGACGCGCCCCCAGACATAGTTGCCGGTCCACGTCTCCACCGATTAGTGGTGATGTACGCAGCGAAAATAAATTGGGCCATAACCTTAACGTTTTGAACGCCATGCGTTTACTGTGTTCTACTGCTGCACGACGGCAACACTAGTGCGAAGAGTCTACTACAGTACCACACCGCCACAGAAAGGTGTGTTTGGTGTTACCTCGGCAAGCAAACATGCATCTGCAGCATTTAACTCTGTTTGGGTCGTTGTGCACATTTGGATGGCTTTTGATGCGTGCGTGCACACAGAATGTTGCACCACCTTCTGGCCTCGTGTCGCAGCTTCTACATGATTCACTGGGGGGGGGGGTTACGGCTGTCTGCTGCGCATACAGCGGTGGGTACGTGTACATATAGTCTATGTCATGTACGTCCACCTATCGGAAGTACCTTAGAACAGTAGGTTGGGTTCAACCGATGCAACACATGATAACATAGATATGATACAGGATTGTTATGGTGGTGGAGTTGAGTGAGGCTTGAGCCCCGAGTGCGTGGGTTTTGCGAACACAAAACCATAACACCTACTGCATCATCAAAACAAGGGCCCGCAAAACAATTGCTTGCGTAGTTTGGGATGGGGGACTCCGTATTGACGAAGTTACACTATATTCCAACTTGGTCTTGACTATTATGTTCCACCGTAATAGTCTACAGGCCGTATCGGTCTCTTAGAGGAATGGCGTGAGGATGTTACGAGCGCAAGGGCAATTTTCCTTCTTGTTTTCCCCTCAGTTCGACGATCATTGGCACAAAGAAAACGAGGCGTGTTTCCCGGTTTGCTACGAGGAAGAACCCTCTTCGTGTTGGACGGTTCCGCGGCCGAGTTGAACAGCACGATAACCTGAAACCGCCCGAAGGGTTCGCGGGGTCAGCAGCTGCTCGGCTCAGACGCATGAGGCGGGCGGCGTATGGGCATGCTCGGCACGGATACGCTAGCAGTCCCTGCCCAATCAGCCGCTTTTTGGTGGATTCCCCGAAACAGAAGGATCGTGACCGATTGATTGGTGCACCAACTCGTTGCTTGTGTTAACGAAAAGGATTGGATGTATCGAAACGCTCTGATCTTGCGGGGCATTACAATATGGTGTGAGGCACCGTGTTGGCCTGTTTGGGAACGACCGTGTCCCAATGATATGTCACGGTCCATGTGACTGTTGTCTTCATGGAGTGCCATGTCTACCACGCCCTCGTAGTGGTTTTCGAGTCGCTTGTGTGTCGTTGACCATACTCCAAGGCGCCACAAAGTCATGGTATGGAGCAGTCTGTTGCCAAACTGCAGCATCTTCAAGAAACTAGAAACTCGTTGACTGAGTCTTGACCAGATTGTCGATTCGCCGGGGTAGGTTTAACGGGTTGTCTTTCTCTATTGCCGTTCAGAAAAGCCAGCAAAACTGGCAAACCTGCGCTACATTCAGGTATCGCCGACGTTGCCGCGCACCAGCAACAAGTTACACAACACAAGCAACCACACGTCTATGATACTAGATTTTGAATTAGCGGCATACTTCATAGTTCGGGCGCCAGACAGGAACATTGAAGAAACTAAAAAGAACATGTTCCCCACCCATGTATGCAGCCCCCCCCGGTCTTGTGCAGATGAAAGTAGCGAAAACCGTCCTAGGATGCTCCAAGCGCACAAGTAATGCAGCCGTCAGGACAGAATTGGGGATCCAATCCCTACGGTCGGGAAGAAACGCAAGGAAGCTGACATGGCAGTATCGCATGTGCGGGATGGGAGAGGAGAGGTTGCCGAGAATAGTTGCCAAGATTAGTATGAGTGGCGAAGTGGACAAACAAAAAGAGGGGTAGACGACCCTCGGAATGGGTCAAGGTTGTACATGACGTATGGACGGGGTTCGAAATCGACGAAGATGAAACGCTGGAGACGGGGGGTCTACAGGGGTTCAAGGAGAAGATATCTGTTTCTTGTGCCGAGAGAGAACAGAATCTAAGGAAATATTCCAAGGATAAGGAGGGTCTAGAAGTGTACGGAATGTTGAAAGAAGGAATAGGGTCCAAGGATTACCTACATGAACCAATGGATATGGATGCAGGGATAAAGCTTAAGGTCATATTCAGGACCGGGGATTTAGGCCTTCGAGAACGTCGACGAAGACATAAGACGTTAGAGGACGAAGACGACGAGTTCAAATGTGATTGCGGCTTCGAATGCGAAGACCGTGTTCATGTAGTCGCGGAATGTCCGTTGTAC